GGAGCCGGTATCCTCCTGTGTATTCACCTCAAACGGGTAGTGGCGCCGAGAGGCCCCTGTTAGTGTCGGCTTGCTAAAACTGCTCCAGAGTGTCCTACAGTAGACCCTGTTGAGATCCTCTGTCACCCTCGGCAGCGGACGCGGCAGAACGTCCGGCGCCGGGCCTTCACGATTAATCCGCGGGAACCGTGGAAGGCTGGGTTCCATATTGAGACCTAAGCGGTTCTCGTATGTGTATAGTCCACGGTATAGCCATAGAGCCCGTGTTTCCCCGGCAGACTTCTGCCCTTCCAAGAGGGTTACAATCACCTCCAGTTCTCCATATACACCTAAGCGGATGCTACATGTGTATTTGCTTCCGAAAACTCCTTCGGGAAGGATGGGGCTTCCGCAGTATCCCTGTTCCAAGTGGAGCGGGTACGTTTTCCCAGTGTTATCCAGTCTCACTTAGTAAGGTAGTGCTTTGAATTCAGATGCAAAAGCTTCTAAGTGCCATCTGAAATTTTCATCTAAAAATGAGCATTTTTATCAGACTCCTATGTTTAGGCTCAGTCATTTTACTCTAATGGCAATTAATAGGTCCTTTTCTATGCAATTAAAGTGAAATAACTTAACATAAATATAGGAGCCTGATGAAAATGCTCATTTTAGGAGAAAATTTCAGATGGCACTTAGAGGCTTTTGCATCTGAACTCTTCATATATACATTATATCATATATTTATATATCATAGTCTTGAGTACATTTTAAGTACTTTTCTTTTGACTTAATTCCTTTTTTTACATATGAATTTGAGCACAAATTGTGCACTCCTGATTGTTTAAATGACTCTTTTGTCAATTTACCTGAGATCAATTTCTTTCTTTCTTTTTTTCCCCAAGTTCTTACTGCTGTTAATACAAGCTTTTATGTGACACTTTTTCAGTTCATTGATATGAGGGATGACTTCAGATGAATGGTCAGTTAAAAATGGTCAAAATGAATAGGGTATTAACATCTTAAATGATAATGTGTATCACAGTAAAATTCTGTGTATAGTAAAATAGCATGATGTTTGAATTCATGTTGCCCAGGGGTAGTGTATTGTGCATTATTAATCTTTATGATAAGCAAGATTCCAGGTCATATTTAATTCCAGAAGCGTTACCTAATATGAAATATTTAATAATTCACATTATATCTTTCTATCTGTAAGAGAAGTGAAAATATGCAATATCTTTGAATACACTTCCGAATAGGACCTGGATCCGCGGGCCCCAACGCAACAGGGTGCGGCGCGGGACAACTCTTGATGGGCGAGTGCGGGTGCGGGCGGGAAGAGACTCGTGTGTGTGCGGGATGCGGGAGAATAAAAAGATTCGCGGGACTCCCGCAAAATAGAAATTATCTAAACATAAAGTGTCTAAAACATATAAATTGTTATTTATCTGTTGCACAAAAGCAAAATGAACAACTAATATTAACATTAAAATGATTGACGTGCAAGCTAGGCATACTTTCTATTTATAACACGTGTTATATAGGCCTACTACTCACCGCAGTGCTGAAATTGCGTGCTCACGAATCCTCTCATTTTAACACACGACGTGTAGACAGTGTGAAAGATTCATTGTGCATATATTTATTGTGTTATAACCAGTTTTGGGGGTAACGCATTACAAGTAATACGAGTTACGTAATCAGATTACTTTTTTCAAGTAACTAGTAAAGTAACGCATTACTTTTTAATTTACAAGAGAATATCTGAGTTACTTTTTCAAAAAAGTAATAAAAGTAACTTTCCCCAACACTGGTTATAACAGAGCTTTATGAGATTGCGATTAACTGAGATGTCAGCTTTTAGTGATAATAAAGGAAGTGCGCTGCTCGCATTCTGCCATGCCAAACCATGCACGCAGCAGCCCATGCTTGCTTAAGCGTCAACATTCACAAACCACTGTTATTTTTAACAGAAAATGTTCTGTTAAAAATAACAGTGGTTAGTGAATGCTGATGCTTAGCCTAAATAACAAATATTGTATCGGTTATAGTGTTTATGCTGGGGTGTTGTGGAGCTTAGGAGATGTTACAGAACCATTTCATGTAAATTTCTTTGATGTACTGAAAAAAACTATATAGATTACTTTTATGCGGGCTTTTGCGGGCGGGAGCGGGACCAGATAAGATATAGCCTATTTCTGCGGGAGCAGGACTGAAAAATCCGTCCCGTGCAGGTCTCTACTTCCGAATAACATTTATGCTCAGTATTGCTGTTAAGGTTTTGATTTTATCTCTTAAAAATTGGTGATCGTCAGATATGTGTAAAAAAAATCACTCAGATAGGAATGGATGATTTGAATATTTTCCTCACATGTTGGCTATATGGGTGTAGGCTATGTAGCAGAATTGCATATTAAGTCAGCAGGCGTATTTATGATGGCTCTTTCATTCCTGACTTTATCCCATACAGGTGATTTTTGGATAGATTTGTAGCCTTTATACTGCTGCTGCTTAGAAATCTAAAATTGTAACCATGGGCATTTTTGCTAAGATAATGAACAAATCTGTAAACACATAGTTCTATAATACGGCTCCTAAAATCCTCAGTAGTCCTAACTGAGCAGGTTAAATCTAATATGTTTCAGTATGCCACTTTTACTTTACAGTGTGATGACAACTTGGCAGCACCTATACTGTATATATGTTATGGAGTGCAATGTGCACTGTTAAGCCAACATGACTGTTATGAAGAAAAGAGGGTTTTTCAATTGTATTTGTAAGCACATAAATTAAATATGGATATGGAAAAAAAGGAAAAGAACATGTAACTTAGCTATCATGATGTGAATTTAAAAAATACTTCCAAAAAATGTAATTTTTATTATCCATGTTTAATGTGTATTTCAGACATGCTACATTTGATTAACTTAAATTATCTACAAAATAAATTATATAGATTTTAATTTTTGTTTTAATTTGTCATTATATAGTGATGATATATAATATATGTATGTATGTAATGAAGTGAGAATAACAAATACTTATGTATAGCAGCAATAATTTTTTGCATGGCTTGTAGAATTTGAATTCACCGGACTATAGTTGCTGCTTTTGTTGGAAAGTATATGTTGTCTTAGATCATTTCTTTTTAAACAGTTTTTTTTAGATATCTGATAATGTTGCAAACCAATGAGCAAAGTCTTCTAACTAACTAAATCACACGCAGTAAAAATAAAAAAATAAAAAATATCAATCATTTAATCATTAAGTATTTTATTCATTGCACGTCCAGCGTACATGCAGTATATACAGTACACACAGTTATATGTACAGACACAAATGAAAGAAACAGGCAAAATTAGAAAGCGTTAGTTTACATTGGTAAAGCAAACTGTGTTTTAATTTCAAATGCACATTCATGATCACATTTCAGTATTTTATTTGAATCATAATTACAAAAAAATCATAAGTACAATTATGTTTACTTTATCTATTTATTTTTTAGTACTACAAGACATGTTTTCTGCATCAAAACAGTTATTATATGATTTGTAAGCTTGATCTGAGGTTCCTTTTTCTGCATATTAGGCAAGCTGTGACACAGAAAGAACACATTTGGTGTCTTCTGCCATCTCATTGAGTCCCATGTTAAGCAGGTAGTGCACAGAAGCGACGGCCGTTCCTCCTGCTGGTAGAGCTCCTCCTGGCAGCAGAGCCATTACGGTCCACAGTGTCTTGGCTATAGCAATCTTTGGTTTAGACAGCATATCAATCACAATATCCTCAGTGGCCCCCTCTTTGAAGCGTGATGTCTTAGCGGTTTTTAGCTGCTCCACCGGTTTGTTCACTCGGTCTGATAACGCCTCTAGAGCCTGATTTGATAAGCCGAAGCCTGTGAAGACTTGCTGAAAAAACTTCTTCATGATGCCATAATCACAGACCAGTGACAATCCCAGGATGGGAGCTATCGCCCCGACTCCCGCCGCAAATGCGTTTAGCCAAATAATTTTCTTGTAGTGTGTTTTTTTCTTTGTGAGGGTCTCTAGAGAATAAACGGGCAGAGACTGAATGAGAGCAAATTTCTTGTTCTCTGGGAGTTCATCTTCGAGGGTGTTGATCAGCTTCTGAAAGTCATATTTTTCCAAATTAAATGAAGATACCAGGAATATTTTGGGTATTCTGACTCTCAATAGGTTCACCTTACAATCATCTCGATTGTTTTCGAGCAACATCCGCTCATCAAAGTTTCTTTTGTGTGATTCAGCACGAATGTCGTTGTCAATTTTAGTGTGAATGAAATAAAATAGCTTCTTGCTCTTCTTGATCGCTCTGGCCAGCTCGATGTCGTTCTCCTTAAATCTTTCAGAGGTCACTATGAGAAAGAAGTCATACGTGTGGAAATTGACATCTTTCAGGTACTTCTTTGCTCTAAATTTTGGACTGCCATTTCCAGGCAGGTCCCAGATCTTCACATTTGGCATGGAGGGATGGGGGTACATGTTGGGCTTCATGGTAGTCTCAGTTGTTCCTGTGGGAGCTGCGTCCTTATCATCATTAGGAAGGCCTCTGAGAGCGTTGACTAAGGAAGACTTCCCTGCCCCTGTCATCCCGGTTACAGCAATGTTAAGTGTAACATTCTCTAACTCCTTAAGTTTACTTTTCAGTTTGTTTGTTTTCTCTGCAAGTGGAGAGTCAATTATTTCCTGTAATTCTGAGCCAAGAGAGTCTGAATCTTCTGTGTTCACTGTGGCATTAGACAATATGTCTACAAACTCTCTGGAAACCACATAAACATTTTTATTTTTATCCTCTACCTCTGGCTTTTTAATGTCTTTTTCTTTAGGTTCGTCAGGACATTTTGTTTTTACATTTTTCTCAACTATTTCCAGTTTTCGCAGCATATTTCTTGGACTGATTGCTGGATATATAGAGCGTGGTGATTAAGCTTTTTTGTCTTTAGTCTCGTCTATGCTGAAAGTTTGTGATGTAGTTGATGATGATCCAGATGACTGACTGGAGCGATCATCTTCATTATAGGGATTTATCACATCTGTCATAGTAGCTCTATAAAGAAATAATGAATTAATGAAATCATATTTGATTCAAATAAATTAATAATGTTAAGCACAGAAAAGCACCTTATATAAGGATGATGCATGTAACACACACAAAAAAAGTTTTTATTTTAACCCACAGCTGTGAGTAGCAAATTCTCCGCTCAGCCTCTGGAAGCTTCAATACTGTCCACTGCAACATATAGTGGGACTGAATCATAAAGACAAACGTCTCACTGTTATGGTCATTTCATAACTAATCTGAAAGGCAAAAAAATCAACATGTTGCATCCGTTCCTTAATTGCATAAAACACAACATAAATTAGATATTTTTGCAGAACTGCTTAAAGTCCAATGATAGCTATTTATATTCCTTTAAACTTGGCTGTAGTTCTTCAAATTATTATTATTTTTGGGGGGGGGGGGGGGGCATATCAATCACAATATCCTCAGTGGCCCCCTCTTTGAAGCGTGATGTCTTAGCGGTTTTTAGCTGCTCCACCGGTTTGTTCACTCGGTCTGATAACGCCTCTAGAGCCTGATTTGATAAGCCGAAGCCTGTGAAGACTTGCTGAAAAAACTTCTTCATGATGCGATAATCACAGGCCAGTGAAAATCCCGGGACGGTAGCTATCGCTCCGACCGCCCGGCCGCAAATGCATTTAGCCAAATATTCTTGTATGTTTTCTTCTTTGTGAGGGCCTCTAGAGAATAAATGGGCAGAGACTGAATGAGAGTAAATTTCTTGGTCTCTGAGAATTCATCTTCGAGGGTGTTGATCAGCTTCTGAAAGTCATATTTTTCCAAATTAAATGAAGATACCAGGAATATTTTGGGTATTCTGACTCTCAATAGGTTCACCTTACAATCATCTCGATTGTTTTCGAGCAACATCCGCTCATCAAAGTTTCTTTTGTGTGATTCAGCACGAATGTCGTTGTCAATTTTAGTGTGAATGAAATAAAATAGCTTCTTGCTCTTCTTGATCGCTCTGGCCAGCTCGATGTCGTTCTCCTTAAATCTTTCAGAGGTCACTATGAGAAAGAAGTCATACGTGTGGAAATTGACATATTTCAGGTACTTCTTTGCTCTAAATTTTGGACTGCCAAGCTCCGCTCCTCCCGACCGCAGACGCAGGTTTACAACCCAGCAAGCAATAGCCGTCATTTCAACGTCTCGGTCAAGTATAGACCCGATATAGTCCGGCTATGTGTAATCCACTTCTAGCCCAAATAACCTTGAATTTGGTTTCATGTCGTTTTTTGGCAAAATAACTTGTGAGATGTATAATATTCCATCATGTAAGCAAAGTCAACAACGTTTACAAGGTGTTTGGTTTCATCTCTTTGACATGCTCAATACGTAGCCTGTGCGTAGCCACGATTTAGCTCGTAGTCAGAGCAGCTATCTGTAGCCCACTTATAGTCAAACCTGATTCACTGTAGTTTTTGGCCAGACAGCGCATGAGATGGTTGATATCCCATCATGTTCGCAGTGTCAATAATATCTAC